ATTATTAAAAGGTTATTTTGAGTGATTGAAATGTTCCTTCTAATTTGATCTGGCCAAGGACGCTACGTAGTCTATAGTTATACTGCTGTACTGGAATTTCAAGTGGTATATGAACATTGTACAGTACACATGTCTCACAAAAGTAAATAAACAGACTAAACAACAAGCAAGCTTACATGTACATTGCAAGGTTGAACCGCAAGCTGTGAATGCACATAGCAAATAACAGGCCGATGGCGGTGAAATTCGCACGTATTTGCACAAAAACGTTGGAGACTTCAAAAGACCTGAGCATGTCAAGGCCATGCCTCTTTACACGGATCAAATCCTTGCCTCGTGAAATCGAGAGGCGTTCTTGCAGAAGAACATGGCGGAACACATGCAAAGACCGCGTGAAGACCGAGGACGAATTTGAAACTGCGGTCAGAATGACCAGTGGTATCGTTCACCACTCATGCGTACATCGCGGTTTTTGTTGGATTTCAAGATGGCTGCCGAATCATTGAACGATGAATTAGAGTATGTAAAATTATATAGGATTAGGCCACTTTTACTTCATTTATACTTAGGACCATTTATACCGCTCTATTTAACATGGCTGTACTTCTGGACGGTGGTATACGGCGTCACGGATTATTTTGAAGCGGGTCTTATTGCTTTGGCAGTGGTCGGGATATTGCAGATTCTCTCATGTCTGTTCTGTCACTGGTCTGTTCATGTCCGATGCCTCTTCACTTGTTCAACGGTGAGAATACCTTAAATTAATAATCTGCTTTATGTTGTTCGTGCTTGTGATGTCTGAACTACAGTTATCACAATCGCGAGGAAATGCTAGAAATTTATAACCAAACTCTTCTTTAATTAATAATTATTTTATAAAATTCACGATCAGCCTTAAATTATTGTTATTTATATTTTTGCATGTGTGTTGATGAATTAAAATATATAGGGAAAATATCTGTTTACAAACATTGTTTTTGTTTTTAAAAATTTACCAACCAGTCAAACCAAAAAAATATTTGTTTGACCATCCAACAGTTTCTCTGGTTGTGATGATGAATAAATTATATATATGAATGAAATCATATACAGTAGAACCCCGCTAAACGAACTTGGTTAACTTGAACTCCCCGCTCATCTCGAACTCAAACCCATTCCCCTTGCCCTTCAGTCATTTACTATCGGCTAACTTGAACCCCCGCTATCTCGAACTATTATTTGTTTCCCTTGGGAGTTTGAGTTAACGGGATTCTACTGTATGTGAACTGCGGATATAAAAATTGGTTGGCACATTAATAACAATAGATGACGTCATTGATATCTCTGCTATAATCGACTTAGTACTAGTGTTAGATTTCTCTGTTTTAATGGGACATTCCTTTAATTTTCTAAACCCCCTACCCCCCTCCCCCTTCAGAGGGCCTGATTCTGACACCCCTGATTTTGTGGCCAGCATTCCTTTGAAGAAGTTTCAGACATTGCCAACATATTTTAGCATCCTTTGAAAAAAAATTTGACTTCCCCATATTTTTGTCAGCTTCTTTGAAAAAAAAATCTGATGCCCTCATCTTCCCTGGAATCCCATGTTAAAAATACCCTCCATCGAAGGTGGGGTTAGGGGACAACAATAGAATGTCGGAGTCCCAATATAATGCTGTTTTTATGTTGTACAGGAAAATATTCCCACTCTTGCCACAGTAATAAAAGTTGTTCCAACAGCAAATAATGGTTCACCAGAGCTGCTCAACCTCCTTCATGAGCAGGTGAGTGTACTGGAAAAACAGTAACCTGATATTTTATACATAACCAGCCCCTATGTAATTGACCGTAATTCTCTAACTTGTTTGACCAAGAGACTCTTACAATTATTGAAGTGCCTGGTGGAAAAAGAGCGCTTTGACAATATAATATTTAATTATATGTCAAACTGCCCTTTTTCCACTGGACCCTTCAATTAAAAAAAAAAGCATTGAAACGTAAATTGATTGTAGAGTTCTTAAATTCATGAATATCTTTATTAGAATGTAGTATTATTAGTTTAGTATTTTAGTTACCGTAATTAGTGTTATTGTCTTCGAAAAGCCCCCTTGGGGAAAGATAATAAAGTATGTATGTATGTATGTAAAAGTAATGTTTATGTAGAATCTTTTTTTTTTCTGAATTACATTTATGATTATAAAAAATTTATATCCCTTGGGTTACTCTATTATGTACATGTGCCTTAAGCTTATGTAATGTTTCCATCTTTTAGGATAAAGAGACACAAAAAGAGGTCATTTTGGTTTCAACTTTCAAAAGACAAAGTATGTGTATGATAGTGAAGAAAAGAAGCAATTCTGCCAGGTTGCATTTCCAATCAACGAATCCATGGGACATTACAACAGTTGTAAAGGATATCAGGAAGAAGCTGAGGTTGAAAGAGCCAAGAAAAAATATGGATTGAATGAGTAAGCTTGTGGTGTTTGTCTGTCTGTGTTATTACTGTAGATTATTGAGTGTTGCTACTTGCTTTTTTATTGTCATGTTAATTACAGCTGTAAATAGGTGAATAAAATAAACTACAAGTTTGAACCATTTTACAAAATCCCAGTAGTAGTTATTACAGTTGAGCCCGCAGTCAAATATTCTTTTGTTTTTAAAAAGTATGCAAACGAGTTAGGCTCAATTTCCGCCGCTCTCTCGAGTCCGGTCTTCGTTCTGGCTCATTTCCCCGAACATCGGCTGGTAATCGAGCCTACTACAAATGAGGCTAATGGGCCAATACAATGCCAGATTGACCCTTTCGCCTCGTTTGCATGTCAAACGGCTAACAATACCAGATTGACCCTTTCGCCTCGTTTGCATGTCAAACCGCTGACCGTCTGTAATAACTGCTATTGAAACTTGAAATAATGTTTCTCCTTACCATCGATTTCACTTTTACTTCAAAACTTCTCTGAGCGGTTTACAAAAGATTTCTGTCAATCATACATGTCATACCTTATATGGAAGGTGTTTTCTTGCGGTAAAATCTAACACTTCCATATAAGGTATGATATGTATAATAATTGACAGAAATATTTTGCAAACCACTCGGAGGAGTTTTGGTTTAAACAGTCGCGTAACAGTGAAATTGATGGGGGAAAAAGGTTTGGTCTTTTTTTTATTATAATTTTGTGTTTTTATTTCTAAATGTTCTACTGCATAAAGGTAGCTGAATTCATGAGCTCCACAATATAAATTTCACTCTACTATAATCCAATAAAAATATAGCCAAGACATTGATAGGCAACTGTATTTTATAAAATAGTGTTACTAGCATCTTTGATTTCCTTGTTCTAGGCTTCAGATGGATGTGCCTGAGTTTAAGGAATTATTTAAAGAAAGAGCCACAGCGCCGTTCTTTGTGTTTCAAGTGTTTTGTGTTGGATTATGGTGTCTTGATGAGTACTGGTACTACAGCATCTTCACTCTGTTTCATGTTGGTTGCTTTTGAAGCCACTCTTGTACAGCAGGTGCTTTAATATTTTAGTTTAATCAAAAATATATTATGTAAAAATAAAAATGGATTGTTAAATGCACATGGTCACATTACATATCTATGTTTGTGGTTCAAATTTTTTTTGGTTTAAAATTTTTCAAACCGGTTTGATTTTTGTTTTCCATTGTCTAATATTCATTACCATAATCTGAAACAAAGGAAAATAAAAATCAAACTGGTTTGAAAAAATTTTAAACCAAAAAATAGATTTAAACCACAACATCTACATGCAATTTATATAAATTATTATTGTTGTGGTTTTAATTTATTTGTTTGAAATTTTATAAACCAGTTTTCAAACTGATCATCACCTTCCCTTTAACTTTCAAAGTTGCAGTTCTCATTAATGAGTGTGAAAGACAAGTTTTCAAAATCCTTTCTTGGCTTTCATCCTTGAGACACCAAAATGAATAATGGCTATAAGAAATTGTTTATTCATCCCTCAACCTCGATGTGATTTTCTTTGTTATATTTCCTTAAGCCTTGAAGCCAAGTTGGACTGAATGGAATCCAATGGAAAATGTTGAAATAATATCAAAATATTGTTTGGGAAAATAAAAAGGGAGACGGAGTATTCAGTCACAAGAAGAAACCCAATGGACCTCAATCACGCGGCGGCCATCTTAAATCCCAGAGGATTTAAAACCTTTGTTTCCGCATCTGAAACCTCACGTAAACTCGTTGTGAAACGTCTGAATGCGAGGCTTGGGGGACCTTGGGGAATAAAAAGCTATTGTTTTTTACCAACATGGCCGCCTGTGATAAAGGCCCATCAAGTGCACGGCATGCACATTTGGTTATATTGGAGACTTTGTTATGGGATACCTTGCTGCTTGCGCTCCAATTTGGTGAAAAAAAGAATGTGCTGAGAACCCAATTATTATTTTTGAAAGTTCTGTAGTTATAGATATGACTTTAAAATAAAATGTGTTTATACTTTTTAGCAATTAAAAAACATGAAGGAAAATAAGGAATATGGGGAGCAAACCATACTTGATACAGGTGAGATGAACACTCCATTTCCATAAAGACTGTGCAAGGTGTAGGTTAAGTCTGTTGCTATCCTCAGAAGGAACTAGATGCCTTGTCGGTTCCAGTGCTTAACTCCAGTTTCCATAGCATGAAGCAGCTAGGAGTATCACTACTTACCTGGATGAGATGCTCCTCCCCAGCATTTTGTTAGATTGCACTGGGTGGAGAGGGACACTGTGAGAGTAGACTTCTTGCAGTCTGTTTCTCTTTCAAAATAATCTGTTGTGGCTCAAAAGGTGTATGGCAACAAGAAATTGGGATGGAAAGGATTGGGACGAGACGAGGGAGTGGTGGGTGAGAAGATAAACTCGCCCCAATCCTTCCTCGTTCGTACCTCCATCTTTGGTGAACGTGCTTGAGGGATAAACGCTCAACAGACCCTAAGAGAAACGGGAAAACTGCAAGCAGTATACTGTGAGAGTAAAGTGTCTTGCTCAAGAACACAACACAATCACCCCGGCCAACATTTGAACCCGGACCACTTGATCCAGAGTCCAACACACTAACCATTAGGCCACCACAACTAACACATATTTGTATGTATGAAGCACAAAATGCAAAGGCTTAAAAAATGTACTCATAAAAACACCCAGCAGTACTAAACAACCTTTATATATTTACATGTATGTATCATGTACAGATAGCATATTAAACTATTAAAAATTTAAAATTAATTATATATTTATTTAATAAATTATGTGCTTACATGTATTACTTATTTAACATGCTCAAAACAACAGGTATACAGGCATAGGAAATGGAGACCCATCTTGAGCTCTGAACTTCTTCCAGGAGATGTTTGTTCTATTGGTAAGCTTCAACTTCAACTTTTGTATTATTATAAGTTACAAAAAAAAAAATTAGCTAGTAAGTAGTTTGCTTTTAATTATTAAGCTAAGTAGTTTGTCCATTTCTATGGAATTTTCTCCAAAAATTATTTGTCAAATCGGCAAAAATACAGGGCAATGTTTTTTTTTAATAAATTGAAGGCCACATGCAAAAAAAATCAGGCAAATCTGAGCTAAACAAAGTAACAAAGAATCAAAAGGATCTTAAGGCTATGTTGTGAAGCGGGTTTCACATTTTCTTTCTGCAAAATCTAATCAACCACCAAAAATTACCCATAAGTCAACAAAGGTCAGTAGTGCCCTCATCCCTTCACATGGTGCTTGCATGCCGTACCTCCCTGACTTGTTACTTCTTCTTCTGCAGGAAGACCTAAAAACTCCGATGTGCTGATTCCTTGTGATATGGTGTTACTGAGAGGGTTCCTGTATTGTAGATGAAGCTATGTTGACTGGAGAGTCTGTGCCGCAAATGAAGGTAGAGTTCAAAGAACAACACATTCAATTCAGATTTAGAATGCTGGATTTCATTGTCAGTGACAACAACATAGGCAGCAGCTAAGCTTCGTAGCTCAGTTGTTAGAGGCCATTTGCACCAGTATTTCACCAGAATCCAGTTGAAACCTTAGATTTTTTTTCTTGGCTTTCTTAGTTTGTGAAAAAAATCTCAAATTTTATTGGGCAAAATATTAAAAAACAAACTGTACCACATGAAAGTTTCACTCAATAGCTTTCATTTAAATGGTCATGCACTAGGGTTTATCCACAGACAAAGTTTGAATCACCTTGTAAAGTATAATAAACAGTACCACATGAAAGTATTGATCAAAATCTTTCATTTATTAAAATAATGGTCACACACTAGTGTCTCATCCACAGACGCCATAGTAGTTAGAAGTACATAAAGTAAAGCAAGCTGGGATCCAATTTGATAGGGAACACCTTACCCAGCCAAACATCCAGTCTATTTGGTTTTAGCTGCATTCTCTGTCTACTCGTAAGTGTACACCCTTGCGACCAGAAAAAGTGTCCACCTAGGAGAGGTATACTTATGGGAGGTTGAAAAATGCAGTGTTTGTAATTATGTGACTGGGACCATGACCAAGTGTCCGCTTACGTGAGCTGTCTGCCTACAGCTGTCTGCTACAGCTGTATGTATCCATTAGTGGAGGATTGACTGTTCAGTCATTATCTTTTCTCAAAGAGGCACTGGAAGTGTATTTATTGATTCTAGTGTTTCTTGTACTAACAGGAGGCAACTGAAGATGTACCAGATGATGAAGTGTTTGACTTGGAGTTGCACAGTAAATTACATGTGTTGTCTGGAGGGACAAAGGTTGTGCAACATTCCTCTCCACCCAAGACATCTGCTGGCTTGAAAGGTAATTTGACAATGTGTTACGCAGTTTGCCAGCTGCGTAAGGTCAATAGATTGAAGTCGAATACTCAGATGATGATCCAACAGATTAATACCACATTTGACTCCATTTTAAAATGATCTGTTCAGGTCCAGTCAAATTCAGTCAGGTTTTCTATGGATAACAAGCACATGTAAAAACGTAATACTGTAGGCTGCAATAGGTCATAGTTAATAGAGGGAAATGGTTATGAAGCCCGGCAAGCTTCAAAGGAGCAAACAAAGAGGCCAAGATTTATGTTGGAAGGTCCATGACCGTGCACATCTTTTGTTTTGCGCTCATACACTATGCATGAATTACGTAATCGCAACGTTTCTATTGTTAGTTGCTTGAACACACGTAACCACCTATTGTATTTTGTCAGGTTTTGTGCACAGTCAACCCCCAAATAGCGAACAAAAACATATAACAAAGAACTTTGCCAGGCTTCATAACCATTTCCCTCTATTAACTATGAATAGGTATAGCTACACAATGTCAAAAACAGCACTAGTTCGCCTGGCTGTGTGATTAGCAATACAGTGTATTGCTGTCAAAGTTCTTTGTTTGGCTATAAATTTAATTCCCTGAATTTAGCTGCATGTTAGTATTAACTTTACATGTGTTTTTCTTTGTAGCTCCTGATAATGGAGCAGTCACATATGTCCTAAGGACTGGATTCAATACATCACAGGTCAGATACTGGCCGGTCATTTATAGTTTAAAAAGTTCAGATAAAATTGACGTGCACCTTTGAACCTGCAAATTTTCCATTCCTGTAATCAATATAAACTGTTTTTTTTTTGGTTTTTTCACTTGTGGACATGTGAGTGTTTGTAATGTTGCAGAGGACAACTGATTACTGGTTAAGGTGGAAATAAAGTTAAAAAGAAATTAAATTTGGCAAGGGTGTTACTGAGCAGTTTTGTAACAGGTTTATGACTATCCAAAAGTGGCAACCCCATAAATAACGACCACCTGAAAGAAGCGCTGAGAAAGTTACAACCCTTGCTGCTTTCAGGATTCTATGGTAAGGGAATAGTTAACACACCCGAGTGCATTGTTGAGTTATATAAGCACGCGGGGAATTTTAGAGCAGCACGAAACGTAGCCGAGTGCTTCTCGCACTTCTCGAGTGTTCTTAAAAATTTCCAAGTGCTTAAAATATATATTAAACTCAACAATGCACGAGGGCAAGTTAACTATTTCCTTTATAAAATGTTCATGGAATTGCGCGCGCTCAAACTTATGACGTAGGCAGAGTGCATTATAACTCGATAAAGCACGCGTGTGACATAGGACACGTGCTTTATCGAGTTATAATGAACTCGAATTGGCCAATCAGAGCATGCGTTATATAACCAAAATTTTATAATAATCAATGATAATATTCAAAAGCCACTAATTAAGTGATCTGTTTAAACTTGTGGGTGTGGTGTGTTACCAAGCATATGTTATACATGTATCAGGTCAATACACTGCACAATAATTATTGATATTTTATGTCATTGACAGGGAAAGCTTCTAAGGACGATTTTATTTGGTGTAAAGCGAGTCACAGCCAACAATCTGGAGACTTTTTTCTTCATCCTGTTTTTGCTGATATTTGCTGTTTCAGCAGCGGCGTATGTTTGGGTTAAAGGTAAGAGTACTAAACCAATCACAGGGCTGCAAATAATTTTTTTTCTTGAAAGGACATGTGTCCGACTAAGTCACTATTTTGGTCGGACAAAACAAAAATGAGGTCGGACATCATATTACAGTACTACTTAATAAGCAACCTGCTAATCTAATGCATAGTCAACGCAGCGTAAACTAGTTTACGTTTAGAACAATTAGTGTTTGCATTGGAAGGCCAAAAAAAAATTGTCCAGACATTATGTCCGACCACAGTTGAGATTTCATCGGACATTGGCAAATTTGGTTGGCCATTGTCCGATGACCGACTGTTATTTGCAGCCCAGAATACAGTGTTTTGTTAAATTGTTAAATAAAATGTGTTGGTGTTGATCATTGGAAAAAAATTATGTGAAGTTGTGAAGTAAGCACCTGATCATAAGATGCAGTTATATTCTTTTTTGATTGCAAACTTCAGTTGAAGCTCTTATTGAAAACTCTATATATTTTATGACAATACTGGATATGTATTAAACTGAGATTATAGTAATTTTCTATGCAGTTTCAAGTGTAAGAAAACCTAAAAACTTTTTACATGCACATGAAGGTAATTCAGGCAATGAAGGAAACTGTGTTTTATATCTCATCCTTCCAAGACTATGAGCAGTTGCCAGTTTTTGTGCTGCCATTTCAGTTTTCTCTCTTTATTTTGCTCCTCACTCAACGAAGTAAGGGAAAGAGGGACTGCTCGTAGCCTAAAATCTCCCCAATAATATGATAATATCTAGAAAAAGCATTAACCAACTATTCTACTCACATTAGTTTGCATGATTGATGTCTAAGAATGAATGTACGAGGGGTATAAATTGTTCTTTCTTATCTAGGCACTGAAGATCCCAAGAGAAATCGTTACAAGCTTTTCTTGGAGTGCACCCTTATTTTAACATCAGTTGTTCCACCTGAGCTTCCTATTGAGCTGTCTCTGGCTGTGAACTCATCACTGATGGCTCTACAAAAACTGGGTAAGGTCACAAAAACAGCTTGATTTTCTTCAGTATATTGGAGTAAAAGAGGTGCGCTGCTCTGAATAATGTATCAGATGTACTGACATCTTTGTTTTTTTGTTTTGTTTTTAAATATCTTAATTTCGCTCACCAAATACAAAAGATACAACAAAAACAAAAACAAAAACAATTAATTGGATTAATTTTCGTGAACCGTTAACGATGGGCAAAAGTAACGAAAATGAAACCCATGTGGAAATAGAAGGCATTAGGGTATAGTGTATTGATGAGGTCCAAGCTGGGCAATACTAACAGCTCTCTATAGTGTCATAAAACCAAAACCAAAGCAATCATAATGGCCAATCACAGCAGACTTACTCAACGCAATGAACCAATGAGAACTCAAAGCAAACACATGTAACAGGTGCCAAGCACGGGAAGCGATTGGTTTTGGTTTTGAATCTGATTGATTAAACCAATCATGGGGCACAGTAAGGCAAAGCCAAAGCAATTCTGGATTACGTTCGGTACTCAATTGAAAACCGCTCTGACTATCTACTATTTCTGAAGACTGTTTTGCTGTTCAGCCACATGATCAGACATTCTTTGTCCTGTTCGAGGCTTACTTATTCTGTACTTGTTTTCTATAGGTGTGTACTGCA